GGGAGAAAAAAGAACTTTTCAGTTGCATCCTGCAGGCATTTTCCTGTTCAATCCACTTTTGACAGATGCAGTTCATTCTGAGAATATTATTAAGCTGTGTTGCTCTTTTGGTTGTTGAACTCACAGGTGTTGTTATAGTGATTATCCTATGAGTGTCTAATCAATTTGGTTTCGTTTCTGATCATTTTTTAAATGTGCTACTCTCCACAAATGTTATCTCTAAAGAGTCTTAAGAAGCTGTTATTCTTAGTATGATTAGTAATTAGCAAACAATATCCTAAGCTAAAAAACAGTCTTTGAGGCTCAACTTATTTCTTGCACATTCAAGATCTAGTTGAAGCAACTTTTTAAAAGAAATGATAGATGGAAACTTTCTTTACCTGACCTATCATTTGTTCTGTAGGCTTAATGACATTCAATACTATTACATTCACTGCCACTGCTAGGGCCTTGGAGGGGGAGGGAAGGGAATATTTATACATTGAGTTATGGACAGATGTAGGAGTAAAAAAAAGGGAGATGGGCAGGAAGTCAGACTGTATAGAACAGAGAAGAATTTGAGACCTTCACTCTACATGGATTGATCACAAGAACTAACCACGCAGATCCAAATGGATATTTAGAAATTGGTGAAGCCTCTAAGATGTTCTGTGGAAAACAGCATACATTTTCTAATGCATGAGTATGTGCAAAATGGTGTGTAATTTATAATGGAAATGTTGACAGAATTTTAGCTTTGGTGCTGCAAATGTGCTCTATAATATATTCACATATGAGTAACATTCCACATATATAGTCACATTTGTCCCCAACATATTTCTTTAGTTGGTGTGAGATTCAATAACTTAGGTGAATGGTTGTAATAAGGAATAATAAGCTGCAATTTTGCTAATCTTACTATAGTTCAGCTTTGGGAACTGCATTATTATTAAATTGGTCCGTGAAACTCTGGTGATATTAATTCTATCAAGCATGAAAACTAACTGGATTTGGATCAGGGAGCTTTATTTATAGCATTTTGCTAAGGATTTATTAGTTTAAAGAGGGAGCTGTGTGTCTCATGGGCTCTTAAATATTAAATAGAGTAGGAAGTTGTATGTTCCTTTCCAATAGCAACAGCAGTTATAACAAAAAAAATTCAGACAATTTTACATTAATTTCAATTTCTTCATGTTATCCAAAGATCCTTGATGATGTCATGGAAAACTTTAGCAAGTATTTAACTATGGCTTATAAACAAACACTTGAGTGCAGATGTGAGTGGAGTCTTTATAATACGGCTTACGGTTAATTAGAAGGGAAATAAAAGCTGATGAAAAACCGAGCCTTTCCACATTGAATAAGCAAACATATACTTCTATGTTTTATCTATCGTTCTTCTCATAGTTTGGGTTTCTTAAAAACCCTTTAAACTGTTCTCTTTTTTCATTTATTTCTTATTTCTTTGCTAAAATTGTCATTATGGCCTTTTTTTTATCCCTAAATAGTACCTGCAAGTTTGGGCCTAGATAGGTTTGCATGAGTTAAAATAGTTACAAGGGGAACATCATCATGGTTCATTTTTTCCCCCTCTTTTATTTGGAATTGAATTAGTAAATGAAAGTTTTTTGCAGTTTAATTCACTTCTCCATAAAGTTTATGGAGCAGCAACAGCTGGTTGAATCCGTGGCAGAAAAAGCCAACTTCTAGTGGCCAAGCTATTGTTTCAGAATTAAGGGGGAAAACTCATTAACTGTTAATGAAAACACAGGGAATAAAAACAAATAGCACAGAAACCCTAGCAAATAATTACCTTACACCTGACACAAAGCTGCTTTATCTTTCTGCTCCAACCCTCAGAAACTCCCAACTTATCACTCTATAGAGCATGAATGAAATTGAGTTTGACTCTCAGAAAAGAACGATAGAGAAATCATCCCGCTTATGGGCCCCTCAGCACAATACTCAGTGGACAACCTGCCATTGAATATAGTAAGGAGTGTATCTAGTGCCCAATTCTTATGACACGTAGGCTAGAGGAGCAAATTACCTGCTAATAGCAGGTGAACCCTTGATATAGTTCCCTAGATCTTGTTTAGAAATACAAAGAGAAAGGACTGAAGGTAGTAGATGTGATTAATGGAGATATGGTGTGTTAGAATATATATCTGTATAGAAATATATTGATTCTGAGTGAGTTGCAGTGGGAAAGTATGTCTCCAGTGGCAAGGGGTCTTGCTTGTGAGAAAGCCACTCTAAGCAGATGGAGTTCTGAGCCCTAATTGTAGAGCTGCTGAGTGGAAATGTCTGTCACTATAGTTTGTGATCATTTATGTCCAATCCCACTGGACTACAGTTGTGGCCACTTAGAACCGTGATTGTCAGAGCTATAGACGAACCCAGAGAACATGTGTGGATATGTTTTAGGGGAAAAACAATGTTCTAAACTTAAACAATCCAAAATGACCAGGGTAATTGCCTCTCTTCTATAAAACTTTTCACCCATGCATCTTGAGTAGCTGTAATCATTTTAATTACATGGGAGTGTCTATTTGTGTAGTGTTATAGACTTGTTTCTGTATGTGCCCAAGGGAGTTGAACCACTTGATATGACACTAAAAACACTTATAACAATGTCTCCATCATCAGGAACTAATTGCGCTTGGATGCAAAGCATATTTTTAAATGTTCCCTCACCACAAACACTTGTAGTACTGGCCTACATTCTGTTTGCCACACTGAGTTATCTACCTCTGTCTTGTTGCATACTTTACAGAGGAATGGTCTTGTATGGGACACAGGGGTGGCTGTTAAAAACTCACTTTGGGTAACCACACTCAGAAACCACAGGAATCACATGGAAATGACTTTTTCATCTGAAGTTAGTAAATCAAGGGCCAAATCCAGACAGGTGTTTTGGGTAAGACTTTAAAAACTGAAGCTGTAAATACAATATGATATCCTGGAACAGAAAAAGGACATTAATGGCAAAAAAAAAAACAAAAAAAAAAACAACTTTGTGAAATCCAAAGAAAGTCTGTAGTCTGGTTAATAGCAACATACCGGTATTAATTTCTTGGTTTTGGCAGATATACTTCAGTTATGTAAGAAGTTGACATTGGGAGACCCTGGGTGAAGGTACACAGGAACTCTGTACTACCTTTGCAACACTTATAAAACCTGAAACTATTCTAAAAGTTTATTAAAAAACCACAACAAAACAAAAACCCTTCCTGATCTGTGTATGAAAAAAAAAAAAAGCTCAGAATACTAGAATGCATAGGAGGAGGTTCTTTTCTTTCAGTGTTAGATTTGTCAAATTTCTGAAGCAAGCAGAAAATTTTCAGTTCAAACGATCATTGTAAATAATATTTAGTATAGCCTACAAATGTTAAATTTTGCTTGGCAATTCAATACTTTTTAAAAACAATTTTCTAAGGATTTTTATTTGGTTCAAAATAAACATTCTGTTTAACTTTGCAGCTCAGTTTCAGATTACCAGCCAGCCAGTCCATTTAGATTGTGTTGATAATATAATTTCAGTGGATTTGCAGTGTTATAAAATTTGAGTGTTTTAACCCTCGGTATAGTATTTGTGAATTTTTCTGATTACTATGGAAATTACCACAGTGATGCTTTAGGCATAGCTATAAACTTTGTATCCTGATCAGTAAACTAATAAAGGACGGCATTTCTGCTGGCTTTAGCCAATGAATGTTGTGTGAGGTTTTAAATTTTTTTACTTTTTTTTCCTACAATAAACTCTACAGTTTATTCTAAAGTCCTATATTTGCAGGTGTTCGAATATCTACTACTATTGAGCATTTGAAGATTCTAGATGTGATTACCTAATTTATGGAAAGAGAAGGCAGCAGCCATTCTCTTTTTATCATTTTATGTCCTCCCTATCTTTCTAGTTTAATTGTAGGAAATAAACCTTTAAAGTGAGGCAATACAGATTCTATGTAGGTTGTTTGGTTTCACTGCTCCCCAGTTGAAATCCAGGGCCAAAACTCTGCAGTGTTTACTGAGATTAGCACTGGTGATTTCCTTTGGAAATTAGTATTTGAGATAATATTAAATTCAATTGAAAATCCCCTTTTCATGTTTATAAAATGAACTAAGCAGCTGTTGGTGTCCTTTTATCAGCAGACTGTACCTCTGTTTGGGGGATTTTAAGGAAAGCCATTTGCAATGCAGAGCCTTTTCTTCCGGTTTCTGAATGAGCTAACATCTTCCGTCTGAACCTTTTAAAGTATCATAATAGCATTGGCCACTTCTATAAAATACAATCCAATGTATGTTGAAAATACCCAAAAGGGATTAGCATTGTTTTTAATTGCATAATTCAGTATTGTATATGCATTACCTTTTATCAAAGCCATTTTACAGAACAAATATTACCTTCTTAGAGCTTTTAGAATTCCTAAGAGGTTGGTTGCACAGGCTGTAAACTAGAATTACAAAGAGAGAACTTTGTTAAGGTTGCAGAACAAACAGGAATAGAATCCAGCAAAGTCTACATTCTCTCTATTTTTACTTCTTTTACTTTTCAGAGAAGGAAAGAATATTGGCCTTGCTACATAATATTGTAACACGTAGAGGGTTAAACTTTGTGTCATTCTTTCTATTTCATTTGGAAGTATAAAGAGAAAGAGGCATTCAGGGTAAAGGTGTAATTATTGGCGACATAGTGTATATTAATACAAATTTATGTAGCTAAGTTTTCATTCTAAATGTGATGGAGAAGCTTCCCTCTGGTGGCACAAGGTATTCCTTCTGTAAGCTAACAGTTCCTAAAGTTCTAGTGAATTACTTGAGTGGAAAATTTTCCATCCAGGTAAGTTGGTTGTTGAACTTATTTATCTGTTTCTCATGTATTAATGGATAGTGGCCATGTTTATTATCAAGTGAAAGATACTTTTTTTTTTTTTTTTTGGTGACTACCAGAACAGCGATATAAATACTTTTATAGAGATGTCCAAAGGATGACCTTATTTTCTTTCCTTTTTGTCCCTCAGGGGGAGATCTTGGACAGGACAGCTTTGATGATAATCACAGTGGAACTCTTGGCCTGTCCCTCACATCTGATGCACGCTTTTTGTCAGACTATCAAGAAGAGGGTGAGTGTCATCTTTCTAGCTTTTGGGTGACCACCATACTTTGTTAGCTTTTGTCCTGGCTTCTTTGCTTTTTCTTATTTTGTATCTAGCATCCTTCAGTGGAGTTTCTGTATTGGTAATCACTATGTTGCAAAGAACAGCTATTTGTTTCATTGTGGTGCTGATCCTCCTGGGTAATTCAATACTTCTGAAGTTAATGTATTTAGGGAAACACTAATTCCATATTGGAACAGGAAGACATCATTATTGATCTTTTTATAAAAACTGTAGCTCGAAAGCTAAGAGGACATTTTAAGATTTCAGGGCTCCGTTTTTACTGTTCCTTTGGTTTTCTTAGCTTCACTGAATTGTTTGAGATTTGGAGCTTTCATTTCATGATTATTGGATTATTAATTTATTGTGGGTCTTTTGAGAACCTTGAGCTCATCACATTATAAATAAGATATATTGTTTCACCTGTGAGTCCCACATACCTCTGACCAGATTGGTATTGTTCAAGAAGAAGGAAAAGCCATAAGAACTACAAAGCATTTCTTCCCGGACCATCAAATTTACTTGAATGTTTGGGAATGAGAGGAGTTAAATAATTCAGCAGTTATAAACATTATTTTTATATCTAAAATTCAGTGGTATATAACAGAGTGGAATGCAAAATATACATGTGTTTTTGAGGTAAGATATACAAGTATAAAGTCTTTGGCCTGGTAACTGCCAGTTTCTGGCTCAGATTTCCCAAGTGTGAAGGATCACTGTGCCTCGTCTGGCATTTGGCCACTTGAACAGAAGGTTTCATCATCATGGATGTGCACGGTTTTCTTATCAGAGTCTCTTTCATGCCTTTCCAGTGAGGTTAAAAAGGTAGAAATACTACTAAACTCAACATTAAATCGGAACCATCTTATTCATTTAAAGAGTAGAAATAAAGTTGGTAAACGTTTCTTATTTCTTTGTGATATTTCCATTTCTTTAAATTTCAAGAGCTTATAAACCCTATTTCCCCTCTCTTTTTATGTTGTGCATTAATTATTTCATTTAGCCCTTTTGACAGTTCATATTTTCTCCCTTTCATTAAGTCGATAACGTCCACATAAGAACTATGGATTGAATCACACAGAAATATTTTCTTTTTCCTGATATTTGTATACTAGCACAATTAGTAATACCTATGTTTTAAAAGAGGCCTTGTAATGTTGGATCTGCATATTGGTTCAGTAAAAACATTGTTTGGATTGAAAGCTTAATACTTACATTGGTAGCTGATTAATAATATTTGTAGAAAATTAACAGTGTGAAACATGAAGAAATCAACCTTTCATTTGTTTTTGATTAATCTAATGCTTGACAGAATTAGAACAATAGTGCCTCATTAATCCTTAGGTCACTTATTTGGTATTTCTAACTTTCCCAAATACAACTGAGAACACAATAACGAAGCCAGAAAGACCTCTAAGTGAAAATAGATGTTACTGTGTCCTGAGTTAACATTTATGTGCCTTATTCTTAGAAGAGCTCCTGAAGCCTTCACTGAGGAATCAATCCTCCTCTTACAAATTTGTAACCAATCAAGTATATTAGTTTCTCTGACCACAGTAACACTTCAAACTAGAAAAAGAGGTGCTTAGGTAAGAAACAGGAAGACAATTAAAACTTTACATAGAAAATAAAATATGTAAGTAGAATTTATATGAGGTTTCAAAAAAACTTACAGTCTGGGACCATATTGTATTATAGAAAAAAAAAGTGCAAACTCTAAGAGCTCAGTACCTTAAATAAATGAAACCTTTTTTAAGCTAGCATGTATTGAGCAATTATTATGTGCTTTACATCATCTCTGTTCTAAGCACTTTGTATATATCATCCTTTAATCTTCAAAACAGCCCTAGGAAGTAGATATTACAAGCGTCCTTATTTTATAGACAAAGAAACTGAGACTCAGGGAAATTAACATATCTAAGATCACACAGCTACTAACTAGTAGTGCCAGGATTTACACCTGCCTAGTCTGGTCCTAAAACCTCTGCTCTTAACCACTCAACTGTCCTTACCACTGTCCCTGTCTGAGCTACTCAAAAAGGTGGATTCAGATTTGTGTTCCAGACATTTGAGCTGAAACCATACAGATACAAATATGTTTTAAAATATTTTCATGAAAGAGTTAAAATTTTAAAACATTGTGTTGAAAGAAGTAACCCTAATGTCTGGAAAACTCCAAAGTGGAAAACTTTGTTCCCTAACTATTCCCTATAACAGAGGAGTTAATTATGTTAGTAATGTTAAATTCTTACTTAATAGATTTTCATTTTTAGTTCTGTGCATAAAAATTTTAAAAATTCGTAAAATAACATAATCAATGGTAGAGGTAGAGTCTATTTATGTGTTTAAAACCTGATTGCAGGATGATGTGATAACATTTAAATAGGAGTTTCTGTGAAGTATTGGATCTAGCCTAGTGCCAGAGTACCTGATGCAGAACAGGCACAATAAAAATTTATTTCCTTCCCCAGAAAATTAAAGATATATACATTTTCTGTGAAATTGGAGAGATAGCTATAAAGGTGTTAAGATTTTGAGTAAACTTTTTATCCTTTTAATTAAATTTTGCAATTATAGAGAATAGTAACACTTGATATGCTACTTATTATTTTAACAAATACTTATTTAAAGATTCCAAGATAATACCAAGGTGCTGTATTAACCTGCAAGTACAATATGCAGTGAAAAAGCAGACTTGATCTCTGCCCTCATGGAGTTTACCATCTCATAAGGGAATCACACTATTAATAACTAAACAATGGCACTGACTGTAGCTCAGTGGTTATAGCGCTGGCCACATACACTGAAGCTGGCAGGTTCAAACCCAGCCTGGGCCTGCTAAAACAACAATGACAACTACAACAACAACAACCAAAAGTAACTGGGCTTTGGGGTGGGCAGGCGCCTGTAGTCCTAGCTACTTGGGAAGCTGAGGCAAGGGAATTGCTTCAGCCAAGAATTTGAGGTTGCTGTGAACTTGACACCACAGTACTCTACCCAGAGTGACAGCTTGAGACTCTGTCTCAAAATAAATAAATAAATAAAAAGTAAACAAATATAAAATTGGTGTCTTCATTTGCTGGTGAGACAGCTAAGGCAATTCTTGAGGAAGTAAAGATCTTCTCTTTTTACCTTTATTATAGTGAGAGTTATTTTAGGCTCTTGGAATTTTATCTTTATTAGAAAATGTTAAAATAGTTCTCTTTTTTGTCTTCCACCCCCAGCCAGAGCAGTGTCCCAGACTTACAATTATCAAAGGACACATGGTCTAACCCATCCAACCATAACGTTAGTGATGAGAAGCAATAACCATGGTGCGTGTCGTGTTTGGGTCATGCCTTTGTGAAAACTACAAAGAGATCCAGAAGAATATAGAAACCTGGCCAGGTGTACCACAAAAAATGAAAACCAAGGTTACAGGCTAACCCATGCATAAAAATGAGAGCATGTTCCTACCTAATCACAATTCCTTCTCCTTTTTCTTTGCAAATGCCAACAATTCAAAGACAGGCTATATTCTTTGGAGATACACCCACAAGAGCATAGCCTCACCATCAGGAGTGAAAACTTGCTAACAAGTAACAACATTTAGATTTCTAAACATAAAAGCATAGTTTCTACCATATGGAAGGGAAAAAAATCAAGTAGGAAACATTGCACCAAAGCCAGACAACTAGGAAGCTCAGTATCTGATTGCTTTCAGTGTCAAGAATATACAATGGATTTTAATGTGTCTATAATCTTATTTTATTAGTATAAAAATGAATTCCTATGTAGCTACATTATTTTAAAATTAGGTTGGGGAAAGTGATTATTCTAAATAGGGTATAGTGACTCCTTCTGGAAGAAAGAGAAAAAATAAAATAGTTTTAGAAGAAACCTAAAATCTGTAATAATATATTTATTATGTATTATTACATTTTAATTAAAGAAAAGGGATGAATGGGTGTATTGGACAGATAAATCTAGAAAGAAGTGAGAATGGTTTTAGAGCTTATTTTTCATCAGGATGTTGAAAGTTAGAAAAGGTTCTGACTCTGTAGCAAAATGAGAAACAGAATTGGGAAAGTAAAAACCTGTAACTATTACTGGAAAAGAGTAATAATGAATAAATAACTAAAGAAACTGTTGTTGTTTAATTTATAGTATACTTGTTGATTTAAAAGAAATTTCAAACCTAATAAAGTAACAATAATGGCCATTTTCAACTCCATGCCTTTTACGAAAGGTATATTCAAAAATAAAGTATTCTGGAAATAAAGAGAAGCCATATTTTTACAATGTTATTTTTAATACTTTTTGGACATTTCTTACTTTCATTTTAGTTCTGAAATTTTGCATTTAGGATTATAAGTAATACTAAACCAGCTTTTGTTGATCATTATGGGTTTTATATTATAGTAATGGGGAGAAGATGTGAGATGTGAATGTATTTTAAGCAAAACAATCTGATATTGGGTGGCACCTGTGTCTCAAAGGAGTAGGGTGCCAGCCCCATATACCAAAGGTGGCAGGTTTAAACCCAGCCCCGGCCAAAAAAACAATGCTGGTATAAAATTAAAATGAAGGTTTAATTTATCAGTTATGTTCTTGTGGTTTAAGAGTTCAAGTTTGTCTTAAATTTCATTGTGATGAAGTTATAATCATGGAATCTGGGAGTTGGAAGGGATGATTAAAGTCATCTAGTAATAAGAACCGTTTATTAAGTGATTACTATGCTGTACTAAGTGCTTTTTATGGGTTACCTCATTTAATTCTCAAATCGGGACAGAGAGGAAGATAACTGTTATCCCATTTTACAGGTAAAGAAATGAGGCTTAGGAACTTAATTGACCTGGCTAAGAATGACATATCTAATTCATATGAGTGATTGGTATTCCAGTAGATTTCCAAGCTGTTTTTTTTTTTTTTTTTTTTGGCCGGGGCTGTGTTTGAACCCACTACCTCTGGCAAATGGGGCCGGTGAG